ATCTAATAAACTTTATTTCATCTTTTTATAATCATTAGATATTAAAATATTATAATTTTTCTATAATGTTTTATAGCTAACTTATACCTACGCTTTAAGGGATATATACCTTACTCTAATCTTAACCTTAATCTAACTCTAATTTATATGACACTAATATATGTGACAAATAGGATTTCATACATAAAAAAATTTCTAAGTTTCTAGAATATATATGAAAAATAAAAGGGAAAAGGGTGTGATACAGGTGATAAAAAGGAGGTGATGATATCACGTTTGCAATGAATATACTAATCTGTAAATAATATCAAATCAGCCTAAATTCAACTATCTAATTTTTAGTTAATTTAAACTATTTTAACTAGTGTTCTAAATTAAAAATTATTTAAAATTTACAATATTTTTTAAAGTTGATTTAAATTAATAAAAAAAGGAAAAATCTATAAATTTTAAGTAATTTTAATTATTAAGCTAGTTTTGTTTATATGATCATAATCATAGAGTGAATCAATAAAAAAAATTTCCCTTTCTACTAACTATCTCCTAAATAGTAATTATTGATTTATATTAATAAATATATAATATTATTATTAATTTAAATAATTTTAGTTATTACAATTAAAAATTTATAGACTAATCAGATTTGTAAATATAAATATATTGTATAGTTATATATAATATTAATTAGAAATAATGCTTTTATCATTTTTTATCATTTTAAAATTTATATTATAGTTTTTATTTATATAATTTTAATTTTTGATTTCTTTTATAAGTTTTATTTTTACATGCATCATAAACAAATTCTTTTTTATAAACTTTATAAGATTAATAAAAAAAGCATAGTCAATTTTTTTATATTTTTAGTATATACAACTTACATAATGAAAATCCAATCATATTTTGGAATAAAATTTTCATTTTATAATTTACAATTATTATAATATATATTTATTGTTTAACAGTTATGTTATAGTAATATTTATTCTTAATTTCTGACCAATAAGGAAGAAAACTTCCTAGGTTGTTTGTAGCACGTCGTTTATATCTTAGCATGGGCGCTATGTTTCCTAAAATCTCATAAATAATTTCTATTTATTGTTTATTTTCTTGGTTCGATTATAATAATTAAATGCACAATCTGAAAAAATTATTTTATAGAAATTTCTTAACATTATCTTATCTATCATCGCACAATCATGTTAAAATCAATCCCAATTAGGTTCAAAATTCTTTGGAAAAACTAGTTTTAACGGATTGACATTTTTTTAAAAAAAAAGTATCTTAATTTGTTTGTCAATAAATAAATTTATATAAATTTGACAAAGCCCGTTGTCGATTGAATGAAGTTAATAACCTTTTTTGTATATGTGAAAAAAAAAAAAAAAAATACCACTAATATTTCTAGTCATAAACCTGTTAAATTACCATAAATTAACTAGCTTTTCTTTTCTAAAAAAAAATTCTTTGATTAGAATTTAGAATCGTGATAGATTATTTGGCCGGATAAATATTTATATTTTATTTTCAAATAATAGGGAGCTAAGTTCCCGTCCCGTAATATTTGGATTAAAAAACGGGATTTTTTTTTAAAGTTTGATATTGAAGATAATGTTCATTATCTATCTATAAAAAAAAAAAAATTATTTGATTTTCAGTTCAATTTACTAGATTATCACATGATCAGATCGTCAAAAAGATATCAATGTCAAACGCCAAATTAAAATGTTTGTGGAAATATCGGAAACAAACGCCCTTTGCAAAATACACTCGCATAGTAATTCCGTACAAAAATAAACAATTTTTACTTTTTTTTTTTTTTAATGAAAAATGTACAAAAAAAAAAAATTAAATAAAGAGATAAAGAATAAAGATAATGATATGTATAAACAAGAATAATGCAACGTGACACAAATTTTTTTTTTTTTGTCGAAAACAAGGTTATTTTTTTTTTTTACGCGATGAAAAATGTTCCTCATTCGTTCGTTCATGGCGTTACAATAACTCAACCCCTTGTTTTCTGACATAAGGTTTTCCTTAAACCTATAACCTATTTAAACCGTTTTCTCCATCTTTTTTTATCATTTACCAATTGTAATACTATAAATTCATTCCTCTTTTGATTTTTAATAAAATGGTTAAATATTGCCTTGCATGTTGTAAAGAACTGGAAGGAGACTTGAGAGAGTTTCGTCGATTTTTCTTGGTGATCTTTGGTCTTTCTTGATCTAACCGAACATTCAAATCCTTGATTGGTTCACTAAAATGTAAAAAAAAAAAAGTTTAATATGTTGCACAGATTGTTCTCGGTCTCGCGTTTCATTGTCGTACCATGGATTGACATACGGAAAAGAAAAAAAAAAGGTGTGAAACATACTTTGAATAGAATGGATCATCATATGAATTGAAATTCGTACAATCCATCATTGAATCCATTTGTTGTTGTTGTTTTTTAATTGCATATTCTTCAGCATCGCCGTTTATCCAACCGTTACATTTTTTGCCCACGCGGTATGCGGCAGTTGATTCGATCATCTTGTCTGTAACGGAAAGTTTTGATTTTGATTTTGGTTGATGAGAGTGACGTTCGCTTGGATAATAATCCACGGCTGATTTCCATTCTTTTGGTCTATTTGGACCTAATTGTGATGGAACTTCAGGACTATGTCTTTCTTTCATACTTTTCGTTCGTTTCTCTAAAAATGAAATGTCACAATTATTAATTATTTGAACAAAATGAAAACATACATGCAATTACAAGATGATGCTTACCGTTACGTTTTTGAGAATATTCGGAAGGAGGTAGAACTTTAAGATTCTTTTGAGGTTTATTTGATTTACTATCACCGGTTAACCCAATAAATGAGAAATCCAATGATAAAAGTGAATCGAATTTATTCGAATTTATTATACTTTTATTTGATTTAGGGGTAGAACGATAGCTTGGTATTGAAGGTAAACTATCTAATGAAGATGAATGAAATTCTTCAAAATGACCGAGATGACGAGAATTTAAGCGATGGTCCAACATATTGTCCAAATTATTTTTTTTCCAACTTTTTCCACTCAGGTAATTAAATAATTCTTGACGACCTTTTGTTATTGTTCCTCCTATGAAGCTTATAACGAACCACCCGGTAAAGTTTACGACGAAAATTAACCCGCAAAAAGTTGATAAAGCGCAGACAGTTATGAAGGAGATAAATATTGACGAAATATCAAATTTATTATCCTCTTTTTTTGAAAATGAGAAATTTGTTAAAAAAGATGACATTTTTGAAATAAAAATCAAAGTTGTGTTTATATATAAGGAGGTTATATAACAATAGAGTTTAATAGAGGTTAATACAGTGTGTGGTGTAATTGTAGGACAATTTCACATTTAATCACAAAAAAAGCGAGGGAACGCCTACTTTTCGCTAGATGGGGTAAGAGAAATGGTAAAGTTTGAAATGAGAAAAATGAGAAGACTTTTTTTCATTGTTGAAAGAACATAAATTAAGAGTTACACGTTTTATAATAATTTTTTGATTATATTCATGTGATATAAGCCGGTTGTAAGCCACAATCGTCGTAAAAAAATTCAGTTTTTTTTTTTTTGTTTCAACTAATGATGTCATTTGATAAAAATAAAAATTATCTCTTTTTTTTTTTTTTTTTTTTATAATAATCTTTATGAACAATGTTTTTATTACACAGCTTTGTTCTTATTTGAGTGAAACCATTAATAGTAAAAATTGAGGTTGAGCCCATGGAAATGACACAAATGTAACCAAAATTATCAGGTTTTTTTTTTTTTTGCTCATTGTCGAAATATAACATGACCAAAAAACTTCGTGATTAATTTCCCACATAAACAATTCCCCAGTATAAATATTTTTTTATTATAACTCCCCTACTTTTCATCCCATTTTCAATCGTATTTTCCTGATTTGTTAATAATAAAAGAGTGAAGATAAAATAAAGGTAAATTAAAATAAAAAATAACAATAAAAAATAATTATTTTAACATATGATATTGTTTCATTTGAATTTTTTTTATTTTATTTTTTATTTTAATTTTTTTATGCGTTTGATGAACTCCTTGATCCATCTTTTTTTTAATGTTAAATCACATTTTAATTGCTTTATCTAGACCAAAAAATTTAATTGATCTAAACCAATTTATTTTTAAAAAAAAAAAAAAGATCTGCGACTTCCCTACCTGTCAAAAAATAAAAAAAAAAAACTTTGAATTACAAATTAATTTACATGAGAAAAAATGTAAGAATTATCCTAATCCTAAAGGTAAGGGTGATTTACATTTTTGAAAGAGCGAGGAATCTAGATTTTTTGTCAACCTATTGTTTGTTTATCTAATCTACACCTTATGACGCGTAAAGTAAAACGTATATGGGCAAGTGACAAAAGAAGATTTACAATATGTATCGTAAAGTATAATGACGTAGCTACATGCATCCCTACTGCGTCACAAGGTTCTAGCGAACATATGCATTGATTCGACAATAAACTACAAAGGTTTTTTCTTTTATACATATAAATAATTTTTCGGAAACCATGTCAAACTTTCTCGTGTCTTTCTTATACATATTAGAATATCCATTATGCCTTTTTAATAGGAAGCGTTTTGATGTAAATGAGAATGTATAATTGGGAATGTAGAATGAATTATGATTCGGATGTAATTCAATCTGTTTCGATAAAGCATTAACTTTAATGTATATTTAGAAAAATGCTTGATTATGGTTCATGGCCATAAACATTTAATTATCAAAGGTGAGAATGTCAACACAAAAACTCGATAGGCTCAATTTTATGCTTGATACTTTTTTTTTACTAGTTTGTTATTAAGTAATTATTCATTCAATTATTTTCCATAAATATATTGTGACACAGTAAATCAATCGATATCATCAAAACACTACAAATGAATGTTTAATATATTTTGAAAAAAAAAAAAAAAGACCGTTTAATTAAGATAATGTAAATTTCTAAAAGATTTTTTTTTTATACCAGTATAATTTAATCAAATAAATCAATAATAATGAATTCATGATACAGCCATTTCACATGCATTCCGCAGCTTACGCGTGACGTATATTCAGAATTTTTTTTTAAAAAAAGCGCGAATGAAATAATGATTTTGGACCGTTAGAATTTCGATTGATGATCACAAACTATTTCATATTACTATTCCTTGAGAATATTCTCTATAAAACGCTCATTCTTTTAATATATAAGACTAATAATCAACAGTTAACTTAGTTAACTTACCGACTAAATTATAAAAAAGTCAAATGCTTATTTATCCAGATTTTAAAATATTTCAAGTAGATATGAGTCGTCGAATCTGTAAAAAACGACTTCGCTTATGAGTCGTGACTGAACCAAATATGAGACAATATCAGAACATCTCAGAGCAAATATAGAATTAATGAATGTTAACAAAATTCTATCCTAGTTAATTCAAATAAATTTTCAAATTATTGGTTCAATGGGATTCTGGTAAATTCAGATTTAATTCCGGCCAAAATTAATCAGACAATTTCAGTGAAAGTAATTTTGATTCTTGGTTTAAAGTGATCGATAATTTCTAACATACTTTTATTAAAATCTTAAACCAAAAAAAAAATTGGTAAAATATTTTGATCACTATTTTCATATGAGACTTTCCACGACTGTTTATATGGAAATCTTATATTGTTGATAAGCACAAAAGCAAAGGTCTATCGGTTGTGCAACTTGTTTCTACGATCAAAAAGCATATTTATTTAATGTTTGTTTGGCATTCGCTTAGATTCCTTATAAAGTTGATCAATAAATTTTTTCAAAAGATTATTGAAAAACCGACAATTCAAAAGCCGACACTATAAGAACCTTTTTTTTTTTTAAAAAAAAAATCTATAAAGAAACCATTTGTTTTGTGAAAATTCGTTATATAAATGAAATTGGAAGTGGTATTGACCTTTATGTTTCGTTATTCACGGCGGATAATATTTTTCATATCCGAAATTCATAAAATATGAAATTTTAATGAAAGATTCATACCATTGGGAGTTTTTCTACAAAGCAAATCTTCATATAATGCATTGGAACGAGTGAAAACAAGTTTATATTTGATTGTATCAATCTATTATATTTATAACTAAGTAAACCTCAACTTTGGTTTTATTTATTATACACTTAAAAAAGAAAAATAAAACGACATAAAAATAAAATACATGAAAGAAGTTGCGTAATTTTACTTACACAAATCGAAAGAAAATATATGCAATATTTTTTTGTAAGAAAAATTACGCATCTACAACTAACTGTATTTTTTAAACAAAAAAGAATCTATAAATTTTTTTTAAAAAAAAAAAGATGTGTAATTTTATTACAAAAAAAAACAAAAAAGACATCAAATATTCTACACAAATGTCTTTTTGTTGTAATCAAAATTACACATTGCCAAAATTTATTCTAAAAAAATATTTATAGAAAGAAATGAATAAAAAAAAAAAAGAAAAGAAAACCTAATCCACCTAAACACCTAATCCTTTTTTTAGCCAATCTAGAAAGTGACATTAAATGTATGCTTCTTTAACTTCTCTTTTGGTTCGTTTCTCCACATTTGGCTTAATTTTCGAAATAGTATCTCTACGATAAAGAATCCGCGCATTGATTGATCGTGGAGTATAATTTGTACTCATTCTTCTGATTCATATCGCGTTATGCGTGGTGTTCGAATAATATGTCAAGATCGACATTAAATTTAAGGGAAAACAATCTCTTCATCGCTTTTAAATGGTTATGATTGAGCTCATTCATATTTAAATGAGGATTTTTATTAGTAGCAACGAGAGATTATTTTTCCAAATATAATTTTACGATTCCTTTTATAAAAAAAAATTAAATAATAATTACATGTTGAAATCATTGTTTTTGTTTGTTCGAAAAGGATTTTATTCAAGTTTTTCTGGGAAATTTCTTTTGCAAATCATCTGCATGTTATTGTGTTTTGGTTTGGTTATTGTTATTGTTTTCTAGAATTTTTGAAGTGGTTATTGTGTGTGTTTTTTTGGAATTTATAAAGCAAGTTTATTGATGGCGTTTTTTTTTCTTTTTGGTTATTGTGATCTCAAAAAGCAATTTTTTAAATGAAATTGAACAAGAATTTAAATTTTACGTAATAAGTCAATTACTAAATCATAATCTATTTTGAAACATCAAGGAATGCGCTTACCTTAAAAAAACAACATTTTCGATCAAATATAAGAACTTTCAAAGTTTTTTTTTCCATATTTAATACAAAGTTTTTTTTTTTTTAGGATTAATTTTAGAATTTTTTACAATGGCCGTCGATTACCCATCGTCATCCTCTTCCTTCTATTTGAATTCCTCCAAAAATGTTTGCATTAGTGTGACTATCTTTTCATAGGTAATCTGTTAAATAACGTCGGCCGGATTGTCTTTCCAAAATATTTCTTTTTCGATTACTCAATCCGTATTTTTTATCGGAGGGAAATTTTCATTATATTCGTTTATACTTTTTTTATTCTTTTTTCCACCAAAAGTTTTCACCAATAAGTCGAGCTCCCAATAGTAAAAGAAGTGACACGTTCTTTAAAAGTCTCCTATATGATTTTCGTCGAAGGAAGAAAACTACAAAGCTAGATGCCTATCTACCAATGTCAGTTGAAAAGCGAGGACTTAAAGAAATGGAAACACTTCTTCAAAGGTTTGCAAAAATAATTTTATACGTTGAAAACTTGACCATGCATCAGCTATTGGCTATTCTTCCTATTCGTATTTTTTTTTTTTTTAAATTTTTCTCAATTGTCATAAGAGACGCAGCATTTTAAACAGAATGCAGTTTTTTTAAAATGAAAAAAAAAAAATTTTTTTATTGAAAAATTAATACATTTTAAATAAAAAAAAATTTTTTGGCCTTCCTACCAAAAAAAAAATTTTTAAACGAAAAAAAATAAAGCTCCTTTCATCAAAAAAATTTCAAAACAACATTTTATTATGAAAAATATCTTGAAGTCTAGATCAATCATCTAAAAAGTGATGGAATTAAATACGAGATAGTTTTGTGAAAGGGAAATAGAATGGAATATCTGTTATGCTTCGGAAATGACAAGAGAGTAGAACTATTATCGATAAATGACCGGGAACTACATAAAATAACTAATAAAAAAAGAATGAGAGGTTACCAAACAAGTTAAGGTTTATCGGCAGTAAGTTTTTAAAGATAGTATTTTTCACCGAAAGAAAAGAATAAATAATGTGCCATTTTATTACAGAGAAATGACCAATTCTGTAGCTTATGGGAGATTTTTTTTTTTTGTTGAAGCAGAAGAAAAAGTGATTTTCTTGACATTTAAATTTTATTTTGTAAGGTGTACTCGAAAACTTGTTTGTTATATAACGATAATGAAAAGGTAAACACGATAAGCAGAAAATAAGACACGATTGTGACGTTTTTACCATTTTATTCAATTTCTCAGCATCAAAGACCCGAGTAAGAATAAACAAATAAAAATAAAAAAAAATACATAAGCGGAATCCTTAAGAAACAGTTAAATAAGGCTGAAATAAATGAATGAATAGGGGAAGTTACTTCTAGTGTATCGTCTTTAACTAGATTGTGAAGTTTTCTACTTGATTCTATTCTCTTGTAACAAATAGTTAAATAACTTATGTTTACTAACTTCAAGAAGAAGTTCTTTGTGAATTGCTGGGATTTAATCTGAGAATTAATTTCAAATTGGGTAATCTTTGAAAATCGATATCTCGCTAACGAATGTCCTTGTTTCGCTGATTCAATATACCACACTAAAGATATTAATCCATTTACTTTCGCGCCTAACAAACCTATTTCATAAATTTGTCCAAGGATATACTGTGCATTAACTTGTCCATTTGCAGCTGAAATTATAAACCAATTTAGAGCATCTTTTTGAGTTAATTGAACAACTTGACCAAATCTATACAGATATCTCAAGAAAAATTGCGCTTCTGAATGATTATGCTTTGCAGATTTAATAAACCAACACAATGATTTATTGTAATCTTTTTCACATCCAATTCCAAATTTATACATACATCCAAGATAAAATTCTGCTTCAATATTATTATTACGAGCAGATCTTAAAATCCATTCAAAAGACTTCTTGTAATCTCTTTCGAATATGCGTCCTTCTATATATGCCCCTCCAAGATAAAGTTGGGCTTTTCCATATTCGTTTTCTGCGGCTTCTTGAATTAATTTAATTCCTACTTTCTCATTTTCTTTTAATAAAATACACCCGATATTAAATATTTTGGAAGGGAAAAATCTCTTAACTAACTTCCAATACGTAATGAGTGGATTTGCTGCTAGTCGCCAATGAAATGATTTCATCGGATCGTATGACGTCTCAACTCCTTTGAAACTTATCAATGCAATAGATGTGGGGAAATGTTGTGCATTCGAATTTAAATAAGCGATGTTTTCAACTTTATAACTTGAGGACATATTGAATTCTTCATTGCTAACTGGTAACGATGGATTCATGTTTTCTTGACTAATGAAGGGATTAAGGTTTAATTCTTCCGTATCTACAGAATTGCCTGTAATTTTGGGAATTTTTAACTCTTTCTCTGTAATTACAGGAATAATTAATTCTTCCGTAACTACAGGAATTCTAAACTCTTCTTTTCTAATTAATGAAAGATTTGTTTCTTCTTTCGCGATTAAAAAATTTGATTCTTTTCTATCTATCAGGGTATCTTTTATAACCAACGACGTGTCTAAATCATTCTTAATAGAAAGGAAATCCGTAATTTGGGTCATCAAAATATTATTTTCCTTAATCGATTCATTTTTATCATTTACAACTTTCATCGAAACTTGCTTATTCTTCCTCTTATTCTTATCCTTTCTATTAATGTTTAGATAAACTTTGTAAGATCCATCTCCAACTTTACAAGTTCTAATCAACTTTTTAATCTCATCACCTTTAAGCCAATTCTTAAAATTTTTGAAAAGCACTCCTCGTTGTCCATTCGTATTTGGATGATTCCCCCTTCCGGTAATAAAATTGATTGAACTTATGTTTAGTTCAAAACATTGTAAGATTACATTATTTACTATTTGACATGCTTGTACTTTAGTATAACCATGTAGATCATACATCGGGATATATTTCAATCCTTTCTTGTTGGTCTTATAGTTTAATTGAATGGTATTTATGATGTTATCCATTTATTGGATTTAATGAAAAAATAAAAAGTATTATTCAATTTATTTATTTTAAATTTTTTCTATCCCCTTCACCCATTGTATATAAAATGAGAGAGAGAATGAATTTTTATTTTATTTTTTTTTTTTTTAGTCGGTTAAAAAAGAATTTTCTTACATCATTGTATTCCTAATTGGATTTAATTAAATGCTAATCCTTGTTGTAATTGACATTGATATGTTATTCTTGCAAAAAGGGTATCACGCGATAGAAAAATTTTTAGCCCTTTTTAAAAAAGTAGCTTAATTTGTTTATCATTTGCATAAATGATTCACTTAAATTAAACTTTAAAATGGGGATATTTTTAACTTTTTACAATCTATCTTTTATTTAGTAATTAAATTCCATAAAACTAAAAATTAATATTGTAAGCAAAAATAACTTGGTAAAAATTCATGTGATATCTATCTTTAAAAATGATAGTTTATTTATATTATATTTTAAAATCATTCCAAGTTATTCATATATTGATAAATACCGATTTTTATCATTTTTAGTTTTTTAGTTATATATTTATTATATCAAATTATAATAGTCTTAAATTCACATTACTAAAATAAATTACTATAATGTATATATATATAATAATTTAATAATATTTTTAACATTTAAAAGATTTTGAAAATAAGTAAATAATTTAATAAATCAAATATAATTCAGTAGTAAAAAATATAAAAATATAAAATATCATTATATTAGAAAATAAAAAATCAAATTGTAATTTTTAATTTTGATCAAACAATTTATTTAATAAAATCGTTATGATTATTATTATTATTATATTATTATTATTTTAAATAATTTAAAATTTTTTTTTTTTTTTAAAAAAAAAAAAAAAATCTATAAATAATTTATTCTAAACATTTTTGTCTTTTGCTTGTCATTATTATTTCCAAATCATCGTGGTTAAATTTTCCTAATACTGTATATATTTTGTTATTTTTGTTATATCCATCCCAATATTTAAAATTAAAAAAATGAAAATGTTTACAATCCCCCAAATTTTATCTATTAATATTATACAAATTCGACATTCATTAAAGAATGTACCCACAAATAGGCAGCCACAACTACTGCACCAGCTATCCAAATTGTGTATGTCTTGGATTCATCATCTTCCAACTTTTTATTCGAATTATTTGAAGATAATTCACCAATATTTGATATTTCTACTCCTTCTCTTGAATTCTCTGCAACTCTAATTCTCAAAGTATGCACAACTCCCTCGGTTTTCCAATCTTTAACTCGCCAGTATAATGTCTGTCTACTTTTAACATATCTCCAATCTCCGTCGGAAACTCTTATATCAAGTAAAAGTTTTTTATAATGATAATTCGGTATATAAATTTCTGTCTCTGGTGCTGTTATGCTATATAATTGTTGCGATGATGGATAATTTGTGAATTTAAATGTAAATTCTAATTTCTTTAAATTAAAGTTCATAGATTGTGGGATTCCTGATACTTTGGCTGCATACGGTCGCTAAGAAACAAAAAGGAAATTCTTAAAATTTATACGTATAAAATTTCGGTCACTTCTAAATATGCCAATTGTACTTACCAAAACTGCTTCCAAAACTCTTCCACCTTGATGAAAATACTCATAATCGGATCCATCATCTTGTTCCCAAAAATGTAATTGAGTTAAATCGAAAGGCGATGTAGGAGATGTTGTTGCACGATTAGCAGTAATGTCTGTACAATCAGATCTAATTTCACACTCCTCATTTATTTCACTATTTACAAAAGTATTCTCACTTTTTTCATTAGAATCATTAGGTGAAATGTTAAGTGCGTCTTGGAAATTTGTTTGTATTTCGAGACTTTGAACCTTAATTTCTTTCTCTCTTGTACCATCTACTGGATTTTCATCTACATGTACCTTTCTTCCTTTGGTAATGGTGGTAGTTTTTGTTATGGTTTTTTCGTTATTAGGACGAGAAAAAATCGAAAAATCTTCACCGTACCAATGGTCACCGTGTGTATTATCATTTATTGGATTATAATTCCATAAACTATAAAATAGTGTTGGTTTAGGAAAAAGGTTGTTCAAATAGCAAATATAATCTATAAACAATTATTAACATACGTAAAGTTCACAAGATTCTTTTCCATGGCGCATAATACAGCATCCAAGAAATTACTATGATGCGCCCAGTCATTAGTTAAGAAGGCTTGCTTCTCATTGATATCCATAGGTATACCACACTCTCCAATAACACAGGGTTTTTCTCCTACATATTGAAGGCCATTTTTAATTATATTTCGAACTTGTCCGGAATAATTTTTTTTTGCTCCGGATATACCGAAAAATGTAGCTGCTGCTATATGATGCGCTCCCTAAATAAATGAAATATTAACCATGTTGAAAGGACAAGATTATATAAGTGATTAATTTATTATCGTACCCTTGTTAAACGTTGAACATCGTGCGTTATTTTACCATTAAATGTTTTTGTAAATAACGCTTTTAAGTCATACCAATGGGGTGCAAATATAACATTATTGTGATGATCACTTGGTGTCCATTTTGGTGGAGGCTTGAAATGAAAAAAAAAATTTTTTAATTATAATTTTAATAATAATAACCATGATAACTAAACGTTAATTAAAAAATACAAGCATACCTCATTTGGAAGTGGCTCAACGAACACAAAATATTCTTTGTTAACGCTTTGAATTCCTTCAGCGTATCTCTTGACAAAAGGTAAATAAAAATCTTTGTAGAATTCCAATTTTTCTCCAGTTTTTGGATGCTTTAAGAAATAATCTTTTTTCAAAACTTTCGGTTTTCCAGTTTTAGCATCAACGTCCCAAACACCATGTTGACGCCATATACAACTGCCATCTAGCCAAGCGGATTCATGTTCTTCATTAATAAGACGTGTTTTATCTTTACGGGTGGGAAATGGCCATGATTTAATCCATACTTCAATTTCTTGTGGTATACCATCGCCAAGAGCAAATGATTGTAAGGCAGATGGCGAATCTCCAAATACAAGGGTTTTCCCTTCATCATACCGATGTAAGTCTGCTAAACCAATATACCCTTGATGAGGTTCATTCATCAATTCAAATCCCATAACTGCCTCCAAATGTTGAAGCCGACTAAAAAAAAGTTTAATTAAATTTTAAAGATATGTAAAAAAAAAAAAAAAATTCCGTTAAAGCTCTACATTACCTTGCTAAATGTTTATAACAATTTATATATTTTGTTTGAAGAAATTCTTTCACACTTACTCCTTCACAAGTTGAATTGGGAGCAAACACATCACCACCCCAAAATAAAGAAAACATGGTACTACTAGCTAATTTAGTATAATTAGTTGGCCACACCATTGGCAATGAATCACCAGGTTTATGATTCATATTATGGACGTAAGCAGCACCCGTGGTCTTAAATTTTGTCATGTCAAGACCAGCAACCTCAAAGGTCCATCCCGGAGCACCTGATCCACCCGAAAACCTTGACCACTATGTAAATGAAAGAGGGAAAAAATTGTTATTATGAAATTTTGCAATTTGAAAAAATTTTTTTTTTATTGTCTTTCATTCTCTAAATATGAGTAACTTACACAATCCTGATGTGGATCTATGAAACATTTTATACCATAACGAGGCATCTGTTCTATGACATTGATGAGATAATCAATGAACTCTTCGTCATAAATACCCCTACAAGATTGTTAACATAATAAACCATTTTGCTTGATACTCAATTGATTCCTAATAAATTCTCCTATAATTTCAAAAATTTAATATTAATATTAAAATTGCTTACGGTCCGGCATGTTCCAATGATTCCCAAGTGACCAATAGTCTAACAAAAGTAAGGCCCCAAGTTCTTAATCTAGCAAAATGCTGATGAACCTCCTCAAGTGGAAAAGGTCTGCCCACGAAAGAAACGTTACGATGATCAAAAAATCCTTCACTTAAATGACTGGATCCATCAGGTTTAGTTGGTAATTTAGAATTACCACATAAATTAACGCCACGTAATAAACAAATACGACCTTGTTCATCCTTAAACCATTTACCATCGGCTTTCAATGAACCAGAAGTAAACCAATTTTGAGCCAAAGCACCCGATTCACCTAATGCTAACGCGTTTCGTTTATCCAGAATAAAATTAGCATCGATGTTGGTTGAAGAAAAAGGAGGAGTATCGGGAGGAGAAGAAGACGCGTAAGAACTGAAAGAGGAAACGGAAGCCGAACGCTTCAATTCGGGAGCTTTAAGATGGTGGTGTGATGGGCGGAAATGAGCTGATTCGTCACTTGATTTATTAACAAGAGATTTCTCATCAGAGGAATCACCATCGGAAGACACGGAAACATCGGGATCCATATGGATCTCAGATGTAGTAATGATGGAGGTAGTAGTGGTAGGTTTCGTGATGTCAGTTGTTTCAACAGATGGCGGAGACATTGTTGGCAACGACGGTAAGTTGCTTCGATTAAAAGTAAATTAGTTTTTTTGTAAATGAATTAATCTAGGGTGAAAAAGAGTAGAATTACAATTTTCTTAATAAATAAATCAATCTATATGTAAAAAGTATTTATTTGGTAATCAAAAGGACTTTTTAATTGGAAATGAAACAGTTAAAAGAAAAGAAATTGTGTATATAAAAGAAAGTATAAAGTGGGGATCTAATAGTTAGAAATAAAAGATTGTGTTTTTTTTTTTATATATATAAAAGTCGGTTTTTTTGGGTGGCTTTTGAATTAACTGTAGAGTTACAAAGATGTTTGCCAATCAAAAGATCAAAAATAATTTCCTTATTTGGATAAGAATTTATTTCGGGAAAAAGCATGGGGCTAAGGACGCACCATTTAAACTGGGCTAAACTGGGCTTAGAATGCATCAAAAAGCTCGGTTCTTAGACATTTTTGCTAAGCAGTGAAAAATAACAATTTATTTTAAGAACAATTTATTATATTAGGTAATAATTATCGTTATAATAAAATCAAAAAAAAAAAAAAAATTAAATCTATTATATAATTATATATTATATATTAATTTTAAAAGTAAATTACGAATAATAAATTAATTTTTTAAAATAAGGACATTCCAGAGAAGACAATAGCTAAAGCAACTGCAGCATTTCCAACATGACCATTTAATGAGGAAGCATCACTTTTCTTTGATCCAGAATCAGATCCAGAATCACCACCATTTGAACCACCGTTGCCAGTTTTACCGTCGGTTGAATTTCCACCCTTGGCACCTTCAACCGATGGAGCATACGTTGGAACAGTTGCTATATCTGCAACATTATAATAGGCAGGAGGTTGTTTTGGTGTGCCACACAATTGAGAATATTCTGCAATACAAGCATTATTGCATTTTGGTTTGTCATCGGGAAGGACCTTAGGTAAACCACATGCTTCTTTACATGCTTCTCCTGAACCGATACAATGGGCATAATTAATTGGCCATTGGTAACCTAAATAATCTGGAACTTTATCAATACATCCGCATCCCCATCCCATTGTGGTCGAATTGCAAAAGTTCTAAAATAAAAATGTTAAATTAACATGATGAATAGATCAACTATTTTAGAATTGAATTATTACATCAACATACCATCGGAGCCTAATTGGTTGAGGGAAGTTAGGGGGAAGAAAGTTAGAATGATAATTAATTAATTGAAAAAAGAAGTGAAATTTCATTTCATACACGTACTTTTTCGGGTCCACCACAATTTGTTTGACAGAAGCCCTTGTTCGCGTCGCAAAGTGAAATTCGCTCTGGTTCGGGTTTTACTGTGAGATTGTACTTGAAATCCGGAAGGTCTGGATTCTTTGCTGTTGTTTGCGCTATTCGTTTACCCATTAAAGGAAAAGTTAACATCTTAAACATTATAACTTGGGCTTAAAACAAGAAATACATACCTTTTGTGCATGAGAAAGAAGTCAAAGCTATGAAAGCGAAAGCAGTGTATGTAACGAAGAATGTCCTCATTTTTGCAAAGCGAGTGGTGTATGGTTAATAAATGGGTATTTATTTGTAAAGTGAATAGTTGAGGGAAGGTTGGGAGGTAAGGTAGATGGAGAGAACAAAAGGATGGTTTTATAACCGCGAAAAATAGGAGTAAGATGGAATGATTTACAGTTCGTTTTGGGTACAAATTCGTATGTGATTTTCACAAATATTAATTTTAATTATTTACCTTTTAAGGATATTATTTATTAAGTGCATTAGCAGCAGAAAATTGTGAATAACGCCCAATAAATTTTGTTCAACGTCAACATTTAATCAACAAAAAAACGAGGAAATCATCTCAAATTTGTTACATCTATGAAAAAAAAAAAGATCGAATCAACCAATATTTATTTAATGCATAGTTTCATCACCACCTCAGGTCAAACAAACTCCTTTTTACATTTTTGTTGTGCATAAAAATTTTCAATTTTTTCTTTTTTTCAAAAGTGAACTAAACCTAATCTAAAGATCGTCAATTCATTCTGTCTTCAACTAAAAATATATTAAAATTTGATTTGTGTTTTCAATTTAAATAAATTGTAAAATAACCTTATTTTTTTTTTTAAACATTATGATCGCACTCCACATTTAGAAACATTCTGTAAGTTTCTCATGTTTTAACACTGTTTTTACTAACAACAAACATTTGGGTTATGCAAAAAAAAAAAAATGTTTCTTTTCGCCGAAAAATTTTCAATCCACATTGGATCCACATAATCAATTATGTGTTACAAAGCAATTCAATTTCTCGGCTTATGACCTTTTCTAGGGGTTTTGTCTTCAATTATATGACTTTATTGACGGGGTTACAAATTCAATTTCTTGATTTTGTAATCTGCATTAGTACAAATAGCTTTCTTTTTAAATAAATATGCTAATTCATTCATCGATAACCGTATTGGTTCTCGAAATAGAACTTTCAACTGCTTGTACCTTCCCATGAGTATTTGTACTTCTTTCAACATCCTTACATTATTATATTCATGTTGTAGAAGCACGGGTCGATAAGCACCATAAACTTATTTATTATCAACCTAATAGTTGATATAATAGCCTTGTAAATATGTTATTTTAGTGTTAGAATCGATAGATATACCACTTTTTGGTGTACAACCTTTTCCATAGATTCGCGTTCTTCAACGGCCCAGTAAAAATCGTAATTAAGATCTTGACATAAAACTGTTGTTAAGTCTGAAAATCCTTCCCGCAACTAAAGCCTAAGTTAAAGTAAAAGTAAAAAGACAAAATAAAAAGACGATTGATCTTACTTTTTTTGGAGATTCTGCAAGTGATAAATCATATTTTTGCTTGATCAGGTATTGGCCTTATATTTAGGGTTGGTTCGGTCCAAAAAAACCGGTCTTTCATCTTTCTTAGGACCGACCGGTTCATAAGTGGACCGGTCTTTGCATATTCGGTCCTACCGGTCCGGTCCGGTCCAAAATATTTTTCCGTTCGGTCCAGACCGATTTATAAGACCGTCCTTAGTAAGCATATATAGTAGTATTAAAGTTTAATTTTATAGAAGACTAAAAATAAATCGTTTTTATTATCCCTTAAATTGTAAGTATAAAATTGATAAAAAATGAAATAAAGTTTATTAGATTTGTCATATTAAAATACATCTAATAATAATATCTTTAAATTTTTAAAATTAATAATTATTAATATATATCAATTTTTCAATTTTTCAATTTTTAAAAATAGCATTATGTAATTATTATTTAAAAATAAAATTTAGTTTACTGGATTCATCTCATTAAAAACCTATTAAATGATAGTATTCTTATATTTTTGAAATTAATAGATAGTAAGATATATGAGTTTTAAAATTTTAATTTTTACTTAGAAACATCATAAAATTTATTATTAAAGTATTAATTTTTTAATAACATATTTTAAATATTTAAAAATAATTAAAAAAAATTTTAATTAATAAATAAAATTGCTTGCAAATTTGTAAACAAAACAATTAAAAGGATAAATACAAATATAAAAATTATATACTAAATAAAATTGATTAATATTAAAAAAAAATGTTCCTTTCTTCTTTATTAATTAATGTTTTCTATATTAACTATATTATTTCTCACAAACTTCTTGACAAAACTAATTCTTTAAACATAATGTTGCTCTAGTTATTTTTATTTCTTAATGGTAAAATAACTACCCAGCAATTGAAAAAACTTGTTTTGAAGCTACATTTATAGCTTAAATACACAAATAATCTCTTACCATTTGACTTAAAATTAGAAATCTTATTGTTGTGATTGTCATTATAAAAAAAATCAATTTGATTTTCTAATGGTATTACTAAATACCTAATATTATCTAATATAGATACTATAATTGAAGTAAATATTAAAAGATACCTATTTAACTTTAATATTAAGTCTTTTACTTTATTAATTTCATTTTATTTAGAAATACAAATAGCTTTACTTTTAGATATAACAATAAAGAAATTTGTGATAATTCATCTAAAATTGATAAATACTTCTCTAATTCTTAATAAATTGCATTTTTCATTATATATTATGAAAATTTATTATCATTTTTATATTGAATCAAATGTTTTTGAATATCTCAAAAACTGATTATATATCACATATATTATATAATGTTATCTTACGATACTAACGATTGAAAAATTAGTATTAATGCAAGATTAACAAGGGGATTCAGCTTTATTCAATGCTTTAGGGAGAGCTCTGAAGGATTTATAAATGACTATCACTTTACACAGTAATGTATGTTTAGAATAGACTTGAGGATTTTATTAAGAATAAAGGATTC